AAGAATCTCCTGTAATTGGACCTGTTGCTTTGCTACAGAGCCCAGTGCCCTATTGTTTGGCCGCTTACCCAGAATGCTGAGCTCCCTACAGAGGAAGGGAGTGCGAGTAGATCTCCACTGAGCTGCTCCTTGCTTCTGGGGCACACTGTTCCCCATCTGCCAGTCATTTTCTACTTTCATAACCTGATGAATCCCAGAATCATGAACCTTGTGACTCCAGAGGGACACGTTTCCTCTGTAGGACAACGTGGGTTTCTGCCCTTTGCTTGTTAGAAAAGCGAACAGATTAGAAAAATGGCGCACCCGCTGCTTTCTGATCAGTTTCCATTTTTCATCGTTTTAATCTATATGCTTGGCCTTGGCAGTCTTAGCTTAGGGATCCATGGCATAGGTCTTTTAGGCCTAGACGGTTTTCTTCTCATTAAATGGTTGGTTAAGAAATTAAGATAGTAGTCAGCTGTACCCACGACCCCTTAGTTTGTCCTGTTTCTGTCTTTGTACCCATGTTTGACAGCAGTGGGCTTCACATGCATCTTCTTTTTCACAGTGTTGGGAAATCTGTCCACTTTCTCTTTTTCACAAGTGCTCCTGGCCAGCTTGTCCAGTCCGTTTCACTTAATAGCTCTCCTGAACTCTTTGTGTTTTTTGAGTGTTTTTTCCCCCCTTGCTGCTTGGCCTTGTGCAACCACTGAATGAGGCTGAAGTTCCATCCGCGCTTCTCTACGGTTTGGAATGTGACAGTTCTTTCACCCAGCCATGTCCCCGAGTTCTCTTAATGGGAATAGATCCCCATTATCTCTTTCCCTCTTTCTGTTTTGCATATCGTTTTTATATAGCCATTTTTTTCCAGGTTCTGCTTGTTTTCCTCAGTCCTTTCATCACTGCTAGACTAGAAACCACCAAAACATATCTAGTACTAAAGAACTGATCTGGGCTTGTGGCCAGCTCCACGGAAGAGACTGGGGCTGACGTCGAAGTTAGTTGTTTATTTGGGCTGTGACTTTCATAGAGCCTGTCAGGCAAATGCCTACATGAATGTTTTATGTTTGAAAGTAGAATTAAATTTCAAGTGGACCTCTACTCTGCAGGAGGCATCCCTGGCTCTCTAAGCCCCTTTCTTGGTAACACATTTCCCTCCTCAATTTGTCATTCTGTACGGGTTTCTTCTTTTGTCCCCATCCTTCCACGGTTCACTCATCTTCAAATATCTTGAATCACAATTTTTGAGGAGAGGGTTTTTCTTCTGTTTTCTTTTCACAAGTCTAGTGCTTAACGATTTTTATATGTTACTTCAGTAAACAAAGAAAGGGACCTGTGTGTGGGGGGGGAGTGGGAAGGAAGAAAAGAGAGAGGGAGAGAGAGAGAGAGAGAGAGAGAGAGAGAGAGAGAGAGAGAGAGAGAGAGAGAAAGAGAGAGGAAGTCTGTAACATTTCCTCCCTGCCTCATGGAAAATATGCTTTCTGGAAGCTCTTTTGACACTGAAGTGAATGCCCACTGGCCCTTCCTTGCTGAGTTCTCCTGGGAGGAGAGAGAGGAGAGAGGCCTTTATGCTCCTTGTCATCCTTTGTTTCTGCTGATTACACACAAAGTAAGTTGTAAGTAGCTCTCACAGATTCCTCTGTGGTACAGACAAGAGAGCAGTAGGTACTCAGCTTCACCTCACCCCGGAGATTCCGCAGGGTCCCTCGCAAGACCTCTCACTATCAATTTCTGTACCCAAAGAGTGAAATGTATCCATTCAAAACAGTTAGCATCCCATAGTGAAACCTGTGGAATCAACTTTAGAAATATTAGTTGATTGATTCAATATTTTTCTCCAACAGAAACTTTTTTTATTGCCCTTTAAAAACAATATGTACTAAGCTGCAAAAAAAGAATAAGAACTAAAATGCCCCATTTTCCTAATCTCTGTGAAAATTTTGTGAAAATTATTGTAGTTTCATGTTAGTGTATGGGATTCAGGCAGACACTGGTTGCTAGGATGAAGGAAGGTAGATACAGTAGAATCTCCCAATCAGTTTAAAGTTTATATTCCAAACATCGGATGGGTAGACACTGTATTTTACTATCTTAATTTGCAGTGGGATATCAAGAAGTTAAACAATTATGTCTGCTGTTTCTGTTAGTCATTTTTTAGTTGCTTATAACTAGCTGGCTAACTTCAGAGGTTTCTAAATCAAAAGGTAGAATTAAGTGTACCACATTATAACTAATTAAGGTAGTCAGCTTTCATATCCTAGATATTGCTTCTTTTTCTGTTTTAAGAATTTTCTGTCTAATAACTGATGATACTGATTGTGGCAGTTGTGGTGGGGGTGTTAGGAACTGTTAGATCATAACCCTTAATGTACAGTTTTATTTGAATCTTTGTTGTCTTGTTCCTACAATGTGGAAGACTACTTTAATGGATTCTTAGGACTTTATTTCTACTTAGAAATCCTAGGATTATAAATTTGAGAATGTTACCCACTTTGCTGCTAGTTCACTTTGTGATTAGGATTGTTGAAATACACTGGTAGCTTGTCACAGTTCTTCCCAACTTACAAGACCTTTTTGTTTTCTCTCAGAGCTGTGTTTCTAAGTGTCTGAAGTTGTAATTGAATGTAATTATAGTTGTTTAACTTTCTCCTTTCCTCTTGAGAATGTTTATAAAGTGCATTCTGTGACTATGAGAATAAAAAGGAACTGGAAGCTTAGTATTTGTGACATGGTTAAATAATGTTAAGGTAAGTAGCAATTGTTTTGTGTATGAAAAATAAGGTATTGTTTATACATAATTTACAGTATATACATTCTGGCTTATGGAATCTGTTTTAGTCAGCTCAGTGGGCACATTTGTTGCAGTTTTATAGGACTCTTTTCTTGGGAGGGTTCATTTTGATATTGAATATTTCAAGGTAGATTTTCCCCCTTTAGTCTGGGGAGAATTAGTGATGTAGACCTCACTGGTGGACCTCAGTATGCCAACTGTGGGAATAATCCACACGCTTTCCGTCGGTGACACAGCATAGATTCTTAATGCCTCTGCTTTTCTCCATGCCCAGTTTTTCTTATTCCTCAGTTCAGAGTATAAATTGCTTTTTAAATCACCTATGTTGGTCTAGACTAAAACACATGTAGTAAGGTTCCTTTATTATCTTTTTTATAATATGTAAAATCAACAAATGATTTTACAATGGAGACCACTAAATGGAGTCAGTGTGTGTTTTTCATGTCCAGTATCTTGTCCTTAATCTTTTTTTCATTTCTAAAGTTTGAATCTGAATTTTGCAACTTAATAGCATGCAACCCAGAGCTACTTATCTACACTAAGCCTCAATTTTTGCTTATAAAATGGAAATGTGCATGTAAGATTGTTGAAGATAAAAGTGGGTTAATTTTCATGTGATGTGCCTACATGCTGACACACACAGGGCTGGTGGAGCTCATGGATAAAGAGGGATTATTGATAGGATGTGGTGGCACATGCCTGAATCCGCACTTGGGAGGTAGGGGGCAGCAGGATTAAGGGTTCAAGGACATCCTCAGCTACTTACATAGAGACCAGCCTTGGCTATTTGAGACCCTGTTTCACAAATAGACAAGGCTTACTAATTGTGACAACAGACGATAAGTAGGTGTTTCACTATTTGGACCTTAGCATGAAGCATAAGTAAGAAAGAACCTTGGACTTACAAATGTTTGAAGACTTGACTCAGTACCTTCTTTATGAGTAATCTCCTTTAGAGCCGGGTGGGACTTACTAAAAATTGTTTAAATTTTGAGATGCAAACTGATTTGTGAGTCAAAAGAAAAGCTTATCACTTAAAATACTTTACTTGGCTGAAAACTGACCTCTAAATGAAAAAATTGATTAGCACAGATGATCTTAGAATTTTGAAAGACTTGAACACCAAAGGGATACTTTGCTAGGGAAGCAAGACACAGGTGATCTGACACTTAGTTGATGTATTATAATTTAGGTACATACTGGTAGATATGTGGTTAGCAAAGATAGTGTGTGTCTTTGCTACTGAGAACAAGTTCTGCTTTATTGTTGCTATGTTGGGGGTAGAATCTAGAGCCTTGCCTGTGTCACCCAACCCCTTTGTCTTTAGATAAATCCCCAATCCATTGAGAAATTTTTAAAAAGCAGGAAAGAAGTTTAGATGGATTCTGAATCCATTTTTTCATCTTAAAATCAGAAATGAAATGAGAGAGTAGGATATATTTAAGGATAATATTGACTAATTGTAATAGATGCCTTATAATGTTGAATAAGGATCTTTATATCTTTCAGTATAGAACTGTACATATAAAGAAATATTTATTAAAATTGTAATGTTTTATTGTTGTTATTGGAACCTGCTTTATACCAAAGCTTTTATACTTAAGGAGAGTAAGTATTGGGTGTTAGAGGTGTCACTCAGTACTAGGTTCAATTTCTTATGCCACACAAGCAAAACAGCCCCTCCCCCCAACAAACAAATGTAAATAAATATAACAAGCATTGATAGGTTAAAAACCTGCTTGTGCTAGCCAGTACCAGGAACAAGAAAATTTAAACACATACCTAAATGTAGAAAGGAACTTCAGACAGTATAGAATGCAGTTTATTAAATACTCTCATGGAAAATTTAAAGGACAGAGGAAAAGAATATGTTGTCAATGTCCGGTAGAGGGTCTGTGTTCTGGTTTTTTTTCCTTCTGTCATTTTCTGCTTTCTTTCTTTTTGAACATCCTTCTATTATCTTGTCCATAGATATTTATTGCTATTTTGTGCTTTGTGATAAAAACATGAGGCTTGGAGCATGGGGACAAAATATATGTGGGTCGTTTCTTATAATTTGTCTTCTCATAATTGATAAACTTTCATATATTTTTTAAATAGTTGTCAAATGTATTAGGCCATCATGGCCTTTTTTCAGACTTGCAGTGGAGATGTCCCTGCATCTGTCTGGGTAGAGTGTGACTATGTGCAGACTCTATGCCCAGCATCTAACCTGGCCGTATTCCCTCAGGTTCCACTGGCATGTGCTGGCAGAGTGCTGGGTGCAGACTTTTGCCCAAACCTGGAGGAGCCAGACCAGAGGCTGGAAGTCCAGGTTGGAGTCTTACTGTTTTATCAGCTGGGGGTGGTATGACAGAATCAGTGGTCCCCAGAGGCCATACCAGTGCTATCAGTGCTATCAAGACAGGACAACCATTGAGACAAGCGTAAAGAGGGAGCGATGTAGCATGTGCAGCAAAAGGTCCTTGTAAGGATTTTTCTGTAACTGGAGGTTATTCACTATGTATTTATCCACTCAAAAGATATTCTGGAGTAGAAAAGAACATGATCTCTGAGCACTGACCATGTAGACTGACACAGGTTGCTATGAGACCTCTGGCAAGTTAATTCAAACTGAACCTCTATTAAGGTGGTCCCTTTCTAAGAAACATAGCACTTACCAGTAAGTATTCAGTCTGAGTGCATTGGGAGATATGGACAGAGTTTAAAATATTGGCATGGATTTTAGTTCACTTTGTGTGGTCTTGAAACATTAAACCTAGTTTGGTTTATTCAAAGTATAAGGATAACCTTGACTTAAGTCACATCTCTACTTCTGTGTCCTTTTTAATGTCTGAAACTTATGTATGCCATTGGATGTGCATGCTGAAATTTCAAGGTGGATGACATGAACAAACCCATTTCTTCCAGACTCTCAATTTGGCACAGTTTTCTAGATTTTCAGGTTTATGGAATAAACATGAGTACATTTTTAAAATACTTGTATTTTACTTCAACCTTTCAAAAATTTGTATTGATTCTTTTGAGAATTTCATGAATGTATTGTGATCATACTCGAACCCCTCCCACATCCTCACCCTACTTTTCAATCCTTCTGCACATTGAACAATTGTGGGCCTCTCTGTTAATTGTCATCTGCTGCAAGAAAAAGCTTGAGAGTTGAGGGATAGATTAATCTATGGGTCTGACAGTAAGTCATTAGGAGTTGGTTTGGTCTGTGACTGTTACTAGAATAATAGTAGCAGGTCACTACAGCTTGTGACCTGTTTAGGCACAGGTTATTGGCCCTGATAACAATGTCAAGTATGGGCTTCCATCTTGTGAAGTAGTTCTTAAATCCAATCAGAAGCAGGTTAGTTGCTCCCTTAACACCCATGCCTTTATGTATCAGTGGGGAATTGTTGTTACTGTAGTCTGCAGAGTTCATAGCTGGGTAAGGTTGATGATCCATTTTCTCTTCCAGTAGCACACATAGCACCTTCTGGCACTATGAAAGGGAGCCAGTAGAGATGAAGCTTCAAGGTCAATATCACCTCGATTTCTCTTTATTTGTTCTTTAATTCACTCATGCGTCTTTAGCAATAGGGTCTTACTGTCAAGTTCTGGCAGGTAACCAAGAGCAATGGCAGGAGCCAGTATTTTTTGTGTCTGTAGGATGCCCCTGATCCAAAAGAGGAAGTCTTTTCCTGGCATTGGACTTTTTATTTGCTAGCCTGTAGTAACTGGTAGGGCTATTTTTTCCTGTTGTAGGGTAACTCCATTTAAACTCTTTCTGGATTGTATATATTTAAAGAAACTTCTATAGTAATAACCCATTTAACCATTCCTAATTTAAAAATAATTTTGCCAATTTAAATAAATCACATAATAAAAGAGAACAATTTTTTAAAATTGACTTCTTCACAGAGGGAATTAGGGTAGAAGTAGGGGGAGGCTTCCGTTTTTATGGTACTAAAGGGTACGCCATCTCTTGAACACCTGCTCTTGGCCCAGAGAAGACCACCTGAGCTTTGCTGTGCTCCCAGCTGGTACTGTCTAGGAGGTGCATGGCTTTGGTATAATAGAAAAGCAGGTGTGACACATACAAGTCATGATGGTGTATTTCCTAGTTCTAGAAAGCTAACAGCTTGTGTGTAGCACACAGATGCAGAGTGATTGAAGATTTTGTGGGGACTAGCTTGACCTTGATCCTTTTGTATAGGATGAGGGATGTTCTTTCTACCCATCATTTTGAATGATCTGTTAGAGTGATTGTTAGATAATCTGCCTTTTAACCTTGAATTTTATTGCAAAGAGAACAGGTTTTTACAGATGATTTTGTGAAATAAAATGTAAAAAGACCTATTTAGCATATTATTTTGACATAATGAGGGAGAAAAAAATATATGTGTAAGTTTAGTGAAAACTGGTTGTAGGTAAACAGTATGATTGAAGATCATTGAGGGTCTTATAAAGAAGACCAGAGTCTTAGACAAAGTAATAAAAGTGATCATACTCCTAGTTTTCTCTTTCTGTAACACTGTTTAAATAGACTGAGGAGGGGAAATTAGATCTGTTGTAAGATTGCCAACTAGGTTGAATTGGTGAACTAACTGGGACACCCTTAAACCATTTCCTTCTCTTTTATTTTCCTCCCCTGTACTTCCATACTTTTTAGTAATACTATTATAGCCAAACCGTGTCCGGTACAATGAACTTGACAGTATGTTCTTCACCAGCTAACAGTTCCAGGAGCATTTTAAAGCTTCATCTCCATTCTCCCCCTGTGGCATTTATCTTGTTTCTCTTTTGTTTCATGTGAAGGAGTGAGCCATTTATTTTTCAGTCCAGAGAATTCACTGCAGTACTTTCCAGAGTCACCTGCTTTTCCAGCTTGGGTCTTAGGCTTCTCTTCAGGGCCACGTTTTGTAACCACTGGAGCATTGCTGTTTGGCCTCATAGTTCTGAGAATCACTTCTGGTACATCTCAGTTTAGGAGTGATGCTTTTTTATATCTTCTTACAAAGATTTTCCTTTAGGAACACACCCTCATGTGTGGTTTATTTAGTTTTACACTTTGGGTGACTGAAATTCTCATGACTAATGCTGCCTCTTCCTGTTCTTACCTGCTTCCTTTTAAATCTCTGCCTTTTATTCTTGTATTTTCAGGTGTCTTAGCAACTTTGTGATTTGATAATCTTGAGAGTCCCAACACTTTCCTCTATGTCTTTAAGTCTTGAGTAGCTACCTGCCAAATCTGTTCCTAGTTTGACTTTTGCAAGAGATCTCCTGTGCTTTAGTGTTAGTATGTTTGATTTAGAACAGTTTTGATTTCCTATCTGACTTGGCTTATTTTTTTCAGTGCGTCTGAAGTAGATATGAAGCTGGCATTCTCTCCTTAGCTTGGGAGCTTAGCTGGTGTATAGTAGCACAGAATTCTCTTATACAGTTACCTTCTAGGAAGTGGTTATTCTAGGGTAGACTTTCCTTAGTTGTGGACAAATATCTTTACTCAAAGAAACGTGACCTTTTCTAGTCTGACTGCATCTCATCATACATTGAGTTATTACAGTTAACTTAGCAGTTCTTTTCTTGGTTGGGAATTTAAGATGTGAGGTTTGACTTGGTATTTTTCACCACTTGAAGTGCTTAGAAAATTAGAGTAAATAATGAACCAATATTTCAGTACCAGATTAGAGACAATTTACTGTGATGTTTTATAAACCACAGACTCCTTTCTTCTGTGAATACATGAAGATCACTTTTTTTTCCAGACATACTGGGGTGCTAGTGTAAATTTCCATAAAATTTAAATGAGGTGCTTCCTGTAATTAATGAACAATTGTGGCTGCTCTCTGGTCTGCATTGTAATTAACCGTGATCAGGCTTGTTTAGTGATGACACTGTTCCTGTAATAATTTGACAAGCTACTGTGAATTTGCCAGGTTATTAAACAACCTGCAGCATTCACTTATGGAGTCACAGGGATGAGCTCCAGGGTGGTAGCTGCTGCTAGTTAAATGCATCATGAGGGTGAACCAGAAGCAACCCCTTGAAGTCTATCGATCACCACAAGCAGATTTACATTCCTATGATTAGGAGAGCTTAATTAATTTGGCATGGGGGTATCTTGCAAACTTCTTTTAATTATATGATAAACATACTGGGGCAAAGGTGATCATTTTTATGAACACATGAAGAAGCCAGCATATGTCTGTAGTGTACTACATACACTACAGAAACTAAACTGAATCAGGTTTCCCTTCTACCTTATTTGATGGGTATCCTTATTTTTTTTAACTCTTCTCAGATTCATCTACATACAAACACCCCTCCCCAGTATGTTTATTCTCACTCTCTTCTTTTTCTCTGTTAGAGACAGCAGATGACAATGTGCTAAGCAGTCACACTGCAGGTACACAGCTCTAAGTGGGCTGGTAGCCTTGTGTCCTTGGTCAGCCCCCCACCTCCCTCCAGGTTAAGAGCTGTTCAAAACGGTACTGTCTAGTGACTGTGGTGTCTTTCATTCAGATTCTGTTTATTGACTAAACCGCAAGGATTCCTGCCCAAAGTACCAGGCAGTCTATGCTTGACTGATTTTGATTTTCTAACATCAGCCCTGGGGTTTATTTGAAAAATGTACACACACTGCAGCTTTAACAAGTCAAGTGACTACATGTTTTTGACCATGGAGTAGAGTGTATCTGAAGATCATTAAATTTCTTGTTTGTGGGGGGGTGGTGGAGAAAAAGTGTAGCAGTCATTGTACCACTGCAGTGTGTGTGTGTGTGTGTGTGTGTGTGTGTGTGTGTGTGTGACATGGTTTTTGTCTTTTCATCTTCTCCAAGAGCCAGAAAGTTTCCTGCCGTTCTCTTTCCAGCTTTTGACAAATGATTGCCAGATGTGAGATCTTTGCAGTGCTCTTTCCCTCGGCAAACCTGCAGCGAAGGGATATTTGATTCCCCCTTGCCCATTTCATCTCCTTTCCACATCTGCCAGGGACACACAGGCCATACATCCCTACATGAGAGTTTAAAGTTTATTCAGCCCCCTTTACCCCTCAGATAAAATGTTTGGAGACAACAAAATGAGGTCCATATGATGCACTCTCAACTTTACTATATGAAATTAGTTGTTTATTTTACTTATCTACCTCTCAGTAATTGAACGGTTTCATTTCAGCTTCAGTCCATGGAAAAGTTGATGCAACCCTGAGAGTGCTGAGTTTCCTGTGTATTGTCTGCTTGCCACAAAGCCTGCCACCACCACAGCGCCCTTCTGAGCCCCTCAGCTCTGATAGACACATAACTGTCTAGTTTATAGGACGTCCTAGTG